CCGCCGCAGCCCAGCTTGTGCCTCGCCTTGCCATGCTTTGCCATGCTGCGATGTGCGTCTTGCTTTATCCCCATCGTGCCTCTCGTCTTGCCTATACTCTTGGCTCTTCTACGCTACCTATCGTCCCTTCTCGATCCCCTTTCCCCTCTTCACTCCTCTACCCCTTGTTTCTCGTCCCATTNGCCCTTCCGCCTGCCCCTTCGCGTTCTCGTCCTCTTCTTCCTTTCGTCCCTCGGTATGTTCCTTCCATCGACGGTGTGCTGTCGAACCGCGCTTCTCTCGTTCTTTACCCCTCCGTGCCCTTATCCACTAAAACCCCTCTACAAGTCCACGACCCTTGCCGGTTCTCTCAACCATCGTCCCCATCGCCGTCGTCGTCGTCGTCGTCGTCGTCGTCTTCGTCGTCGTAGTCGTAGCACGAGTAAAGTTCTTGGTCCTTACGAACACGCGATGCGATATAGATAGAATAACAATGAAAAAGAATAAAGATATATATATATAGATCATTTTTCTATACTTTATATCTATTTTTTCTTTAACGCGTTGCATGATACTTTTAGTTCGCTTGTATATATACATATACATCTTGCGCACACGCGAACGATCGCCGTCTTCGAGACTCAACGTGTCCGAGTTTCCGGTCGGCCGACTGTTCGCAGCAGCAGCAGCGAGGGAACGAGGCTTGGCGCAGTGAGGCGAGGTGAGGTAAAGCGAGGAGTGGCGAGACGAGGCGAGGTGAGGCGAACGGTTGGCCGCTCGCTTGGTCGTCGTGAAATTTACGAGCGACGCGATTTTTTCGCCCGTGTCCCGAACGCCCGTTTAATTTCCCGCGATTCTAGGATCTCTCTCGTCTCTAAAATATAGAGGAACAGAGAGGAATGGAACAGGAAAAAGACAGAGAGAGAAAAAGAGAGAGAGAGAGAGAGNAGAGAGAGTGAACCGAACCTGTGGCAAAACCCTTAAATCCGACCTTCCCTCCTCTCCTGTACAACTCGGCCCCTAGGGAAGAGCCGGATTTATGAGCACGGCCTAAAATCCGTACGCGAACGACGGCAGAGTTACGGAGCTAGAGAGAGCCGCGAGTGTATAAGGAGGAACGCCGCGGTAATTCGCGGATAAATTTACCGTGCCTCCGGCGGCGTATTTACCGTGGTAAATACACGCTCGGACACACCGGCGCGGACCGGCACCTACGTCGATTTCTTTTTCGCGGCCGAACGAGTCGCCCTACCCTGCCGATAATTATCGTGCGCTTGTGCGCGCGCGAGACTACGCACGCTCACATTTGCGCTCGAACGCCACGCCAGCTTTGGCCTTCTTCGAGTCCCACTTTGCTCGAATCGACACGGCCACGACGGAGGACGTACAATGACGACCAAGCGAGAATAAGAGAACGACGTTATATTACCTGTACGTTCATAGATGGGGAAACTGGGAATACCTCGAATGCTACGGATTTTTCGCTCGTTCCAGAAATAATCGTACCCCAAAAATATATCGGGCTCTCCCTCCACTCGCACGCGCGCACGCACACATATACATGCATATACATAAAACATGGTGTGCGCACGATAAGCGGACGTTAAAGGGGAACGCGCACTGGTTAGAGGGAAAAAAACGCGTTCGCGTTTTACGTAACGCGCGGCGAACCGTTCGAATCGAGTGGCGGGATGAAGAGGGTAGGGAGGATCAATCAAAGTCGAACATCGATGACGATAACGATAGAACCAAAAGAAGAATAAAGAGAAGACGCTAATCATTAACCTGAAAGGAAAAAATAAGCAAACATTTTCGAATTTATTACGTTTTACGTTTACCAATATACATATGTATACATATATATATATTTTCTAATCATATTAGGTATACTCGTATACATATTCTCGGTATTCATAATCGTCGCGTTTATACATATATAAACTACATACGATGTTTATCGATAAAATTGGTGGTAGGAAAGGCAAGAGTGCGGTCTGTACCGTTATCGAGGTTAAACGGCGTTACGAAAATATTTCGAGCGCGCACAGAGATCGAAAAGATAGCGGTGGCGCGCGGACGTCACCGGATACACCTTATCGATCTCGATATCGGTGGCTCGTCGAGAGAGAAAGAGACGACGCGGTCGGACGTACGGCGGCCGATTAACGAACGGAGAGTCGCGCAAAGGGGAAAGGACGAAGGCGTGAAAGAGAAAGGAGTGAGGAGCGGCGAGAGATGGAGGAGGAGGAAGAGGTGGATGAGGATGAGGAGGGGGCGGAGGGAGAGGATGAGGTGGAGGAAGAGGTGGAGGAGGAGGA